ACCAAGTTTGGGAGCACAGCCAAAGACCCCAGCCAGGGCGCTCACAGCACCTTAGGCCCAGGGCCATTTGCAGGAGCAAGTGCTGGAAGAGGAATGCGGAGGATGGACAAGAGGACGAACCAGATGCAAAGAAGCTGGATGCCACAACATCACCACCGAAGAAGTCAACCCAAAGAGAGAAGGAGAAGAAGGAGAGCAGGTGGAAGAGAAGAGACAGAAAATGACAGAAAATGGAGGTGAAGAAGAGAGTATAAGAGAGAAAGAAAGTCGAGAGGCCGAACATGTTGCTGAGGGTTCGCCAAGCACAAAAAAGTCAAGGTTGTACCCACTGCATTTCGCAGGAGTGGGGGCCATCGAGGCCACGCTGACGAGGAGGCCGGACTCGACTACATGCCTGAACAGATCACAGAGGAACACATGGGCTATGGAGGGGACGAGGACGACGACCCTCCTGAAGTCCCAGAGTGGGAGCTCAACGCCTTGGACGAAGAGGCAAAGGACAAAGAAATTGAAAGGATGTTGAAGCTGCCGGCTATGGAAGAAGCAAAGACTGGAGATGTGGAGAAGGACAATGGCTATGTCATCAGCGCCAAGATGGTCATCACATGGAAACACAGACTTGAACAAGGAGGATGGTTCAGACGTGCCAGATTGGTCGCAAGGCAGTTTAAGGGCAGCGTGGACATGGAGCAGGCATGTGCCCCTACATCGCTGATGATCATCCCCAAAATGATGATTCATTTGCGGATCAATTGCTTCAGCAACTTTGTGGGAATGACGCTCGACATCAAGGACGCCTTTCTCATGTACAGCGAAGTGACGAGAAGGCCTATGTGAGGATTGGAGAAAAGATCTACAGGCTACTGAAGTGTTTGCCAGGACAAAGAATAGCTGCATCACAGTGGTTTCAGATGTTTGCAAACGGTTGCAAGGAGTTCGGCGTGAACCAAGATCCCATGCAGCCTACCTTGTTCATGAATCATGGTGAGATCCTGCTCACTGTGCATGTCGACGACGTCTTCACGATTGGCAAGGAGCCCGTGCTTTGCAGTTTGTCAACTTCCTCAAGAACATCAAAGGATGGAAAGTGGAGGAAAAGGGTCCATTCCAGGAAGTAAATTCTTCTACCTGATGAGACAATTCAAGGTGGCAAGAGAACATGTGGACATCAGATGTGACAGGAAGCACCGAGAAGGAGGTGGACCTGCTCAAGAAAGCGTATAGGAAGACGCCAATGGACCGGAACAGCATCAAGAAGGATGAGTCGCCGCCATTGGAAGATGGAGAGATCACCAAGTTCAGGAGTGTAGTGGGGAGGCTGATGTACATGACGAGTGAACGACCAGACGCTCAATTTGCCATACAGTCATTGGCAAGGAAGATGGCAGCGCCCGCGAAAGAAGTGTGGAGAAGGACATGGCCTCTTTGCTCACGGCACTGTCGACTTTGGAGCGCGGCTTGTGAGAAGAGAGAAAAAGGAGATCAGTGCTCGATCCACGAGAAGATGTTAAAGTGGAGTCAGAAAATTTTCATTTGTTGGAGGTGATCACTGACTCAGACTATGCTGGAAGCCGAGATGATCAAAAGTCAACATCATCATTCCAGATCTACAATGGCGGCAACCTCATTGAAAGTCGAGTCAGAAGTCAAAGGCGATTGCGCTATCTTCTGGAGAGGCCGAATTTGTCTCAGTGGTGGCAGGACGCTCAGATGGAATGCTGATCAAGCATTTGTGGACGGCAATGTCCGGTGAAGAGTGCAAGACGAAAGTGCGCTCGGACAGCTCTGCAGCAAGGGCAATGGTGCAAAGACAAGGCATTGGCCGGGTAAGGCACCTCGACGCCTCACTGCTGTGGGTACAGCAGAAGGAGAAGGACAAGGTGTTGAGCATTGCTGCAGCACCTACAGAGCTGAAGTGTGCAGATGTGGGAACAAAGATTTTGACCAGGAAGAGACTGGTTGGACTGCTCTACATGATGATGGTGATCAATGCAATCGGTGACAGAGTGGGCCACGACGAATTCAAGGAAATCGAGTAGCAGTACCAGATCAAGCGAGGCGCAAAGAAGATGTTGAAAGGAGGAAAAGATCTACGAGTTGGACTACTCCTCTTGATGGCAAGCATGGACACCGTTGCGAGAGAGCCTATGGACTATGAGACTGAGCTTAATGGCTTAATGCGTGCAAGTTTGAATGGTGGGCGCTCATTTTGCGTGCCTTGGTTGGGGCCTTGAGCGTATTGCGTTGGCTTCGGTACTTTGTGGTAACACAGAAACACAAAGGGCTTCACAAGATCAAGAAATCCAAGTGACCCAATGGTTTGATTGCAGCCTATGGGCAAAGTATGAGGAACAGATCCAAGACATGGAGGACCAAGTCATTGGCATGCGAGAAGCACTGCTGAGGGCTGAAGGTCTGATTGAGGACCTGAAGGTTGATCGATGAAAACTTTCAAATGTTTGAAATGGAGAAAGGATTTACTGTATGAGGATGGAGAAGAAGTGTTTGATTTTCAATCAATGCGCTGGAGGCAAGGTTATCCAGTACGACTCAAGTTGCCCACACTGGCGAAACGGCCAGTGCATAGAACTTCGTAGGATGTGCAAGGATGAAGAGGCCGTGTCAGATTTCACATCAGAACCAATATGAACAGTCATCCATGCACAGTACTGCATAGCATACGCCATGAACTTTTAGGCCCGAGCTTTCGTGAAAAGCCGCGTGCTTCGATTTTCAATGTTACAATGTTGGCATCCATTTCTTTCACCGTCAGTCGCGAGTCGCCGGAGATGCAGACGGATCTGTGTTTGGTCCACGATGTTGGAAACACATTGAATTTGTTGTTTCATGGAACAATGCATGACCAACATCAATGTCACCGTTTTTTCCGAAGACCACTATCACTGTGAAAAGTGACGTTTCAGCAGCAACCAAACCTGGATGACACATAGAAGTATCATGTTCCAACTCAACAGTGACGGAGTCCTATCAATGCACAATTTCAGACGAGTCGAACGCTGAATGTGTTGGTGGAGTAGTGTTTTGGACGGGAACTGTAATGCATGGCCAGCAATCAGACGCAGCACATTTCAATTCAACAGGATTCCACAATTAGTCAGTTTTTGTTTACATTTCGCGATCCTCAGCCAGGCTCCAAAGTGATGTTACTTTACATTGTGTTTGAAACTGTTTCATCGCATCATTCTGATTCTCCAGATAGTCTTGTTGATGCTTGCAAAGAAAATGTATGCGTCGGAGTCTTGAGGTTTTTTTTCAGCCGAGCAATCTTGAAGTCCCGCACGGAATCCCAGATTACATGGAGGGTTGTTTTTTGCATAATTGAAACTGTGATAATAAAAGATCCAGGTGACAGTGATGCCTCAAAGTGGTGGTGGAGGCCCCGATTTGAGCATTGAGGTGTGTACACCAGGATCATAGGGTAGTAGCTTTGAGGGCAAAAAGAGACAATGAGCGATGCCCTTTGCTCCTAGTAGCGTCCTTGTTAGTAGTAGTAAGGCCAGGAGCCCCTAGTAGCGTCCTTGCTCCTAATAGCGATGCCAGGAGCCCCTAGTAGTTTTTTGTTCCTACTGAATCCGCAGTCATCAGACAGAGACGTGCAGAAGAGACACAATTGTTTTCAACAGAGTTGCTGTTCTGCACTGTTTGTCGGGGAGTGGTGCCTTTACATATTTTCATAGTTATATATAACTATATATATAGCTCCATAGTTATATATATATAGTTGAATCTTCTAGAGGTTCGAGACTGCACAATTGGACTAGGTGGAAAGCGAACAGGAAAAGGCAGCGGCAACTCGAAGGCTCTGGTCTGTTAATGTTGTGCCGATCGGTGTTTGCAGGTCACAGGTCGTTGGGTTTCGCAGGGAATTTTTAAAATAATCCTTAATTGATGGTAATGGGCCAGCACCACTGAAACGGCTCTTTCGCAGTGACGTTCAGTGACGATGCAGCCTTGCGAACACTTTTGTCGGAAACTCATTGGTCACCCGTTGAACTTGCGTCGCAGTGACTCATGAGTAGTTACCCCGCCTTTCTTTTTGGTGGCAGTGTAAGCGAACTCTCTTAATCAGAACTGCGAAGACTGTAAGGTCTGGAATGACCTGCACAGGAGTGTTGCATTGTTCCCCAACATGGAGTGACCTGCGCAGCTCTTTTGATGACACTGTTGCCAGGGTGGTCAGGAGGCCCGCTTCCGCTTGATGCTGACCGACATGAGAATTATGAGAACTTGCGTGCATGCTTTGATTCATTATATTACTATCAGGAGGTTTGAGCCTTTTGCTTGAAAACCTAGGCCAACATGGAGCCATGGGGCTCAATAGTTTCTCTTCACAATCATGTCTCGTTAGTTTCTCATCCTTGTGGACCTCTTAGCTTAGCCTTTCAAGCTTCCAGTTCCTGAATTTGCAGGGCAAGCGCTCCAGTGGCCGTGGAACATCAGACAAGGAGTTGCTTGAACTCACCAACTCGCACTTATCCACACAAATTCACACAGACATCACATATTGAAAGCACTTTTGTTCCAGAATTAAATGTGGTTTGCATGAGTTTGCCAGCCCTTCAACTCTTTGGAGTGTGTAAGACCATGACAAGATGTCGCGCAAAAAGCTGGATTGACACCAATCGCAAACGACAGCCATGGATTGATTTGTAACAACAAGTGGTTCAAGCCGCCTATATTTTAGAAGAGGGTTTGGCGATTTGTATCGATTTGTTGTTTTTGGACCTTCACTACCAACAACAACACCAGTCGAACTTTCGTCAGAAGGCACACACCCAAAGCAAGTATTTGTCATGCTTGCAAAGCCCAAGCAGTTGGGAGAGCCTTCCTTTTTGCTCATACATACAGATATGTTTATGTGTCAAAGATCTTCTAACAGTCTTGAGAGATTCACCCACCACAAGGATGCACAAAGCACAAGAAGTGCTGACGACTCCACCAATGGCGAGGTGCAGACTTGCAAATCATGTTCTTTTTGAATGACACTGTTCCACAGAAATGGTTCAAATCCATGTAGCAATTCAGCTCCACAAAGAGCTTCCACACATTGTTCCAGCGACTTCACTGGTGATCAAATATATGGCTCAGCCAAGCGGCTCAAGTTTACACTCCCAAACCAGAATTATCCACAACCAAGCATTGGTGTCTCGTTCTTTTGGTTTGAGTGTTTGTTTGGATGCTTTGAATTGTGTTTCGATCCCGATTCCAGATGGCCAGTCTGCCTTTTGGATTTTGCCTGGGTTGACTTGCGGCTTAAATCGATGGAACTGGAAGACTTGAAGACTGAGCGGGTCGAGGCATGCGAGTTGCATCCTGATGTTGTTGAATGGTGCCCAGCTTCTGGACTTGAGGACTGGTTGGCTTGGGGCATGTACCCAGACTGAACATATGTAGTTTGATTTCAGTCCTTGTAGGTGGCTTTTGATCAAAGGACATAATGTTCTGAAGTGCTGTCCTCAGCCTTAAAGTTTCTTGAGGTACGAACATAATGCAGAGACTGATGAGCGTTGCGGGGCCCTTGTCATTGCTTCTGTGGAAAGCGAAAATGGCATCACCTCCTTGAACAAGAACCAGAACATACCTTGTTTCCTGCCTTTCAATAGTTCAACATTTCGAGCTACGCAAGGTGAATGACCAGCAGCCTTGGCTCTTTCGATTCCACGAACTCATTCGTGACGCCCAAAATGTCTGGTAGGCTAGTAGTAATCTCCATCTGAGGCCCTGGTGTCTATGACATTGCTTGGTTGCAGTCCACTGCAGCACTGGCATGTGCTTGTGCTGATGGTGCGCTGCGCCTTTGTCCACGAGGGAGTAGTGCAATGGAGATGTACAAGCTGAGTGATGGAATCCTCACCCATTTGTGCTGGGGCGCTGGCGAGGCCATGTGAGACAACAGTGGGACAATTGGACAGTCTGGGACAGAGCTTTCCCTGAAATGCTGCAGGCAGGTGGCTTGGTGGTGGTTGGGCAGGATGGCGTGGTACACTACCTACTAGCAGCGAGTGAAATACAAGAAGTTGCCAGTCGGAAGCAGCATGAGCTCGAAGCCTGGTGTGTGGAGGTCTCCTCCATGGACAAGAATCTAATCCTCACAGGTACGGCTGTCGAGTTTACAAAAGCTGCTTTCCTTTCACGATGGGATTTATGCAATTCATGAAGCTTTTATATGGGTCATTGGGCGATTTCATGAAGCTCTGGGAAATTTTCCTCCAGCAGATTGTGTCTTTGCAGGTGCGGATGATGGGTTGCTACTTGCTTGGGATCTCCGAAGCCCCGATGTGGGAGCTCCATTTCGCAATCGACACGAGGCTGGGGTGACCTCCTTGGCCTCCAACCCGCAGAATGCCTTTCAGGCCAGCTCCGGGTTCGGCGAACTTCGTCGACGACGTCGGACGTGGCATCTCGGCAGTTCGTCGACTTGGCATTTTCGTCATAGCTTCTTGTTACTAGTAGTATGGCCAGGAGCCCCTAGTAGCGTCCTTGCTCCTAGTAGTATGATGGTGTGAGTTTAGGTCCTCTCTGGCAGCTATGACGAGCGCTTGAGACTGTTCGACCTACGACACATGAAAGAGCCATTGATGCGAAGCGACCGCCTGGGTGATGGGGCCTATCAACTCAGTTGGCATCCTTCATGCCCAGGAGTCAGAGCCTGTCAGGGCAAGAGTGGAATTCTTGTAGAGTGTTTAATCAGCTGCTTTCCCAGCCCCTGTCAGGAACTGTTGCAGTGGCTGCCATGAGATGTGGCTTTCCCATTTTTCGCGTGGAGGACAGTATGCACATGCTGGGTGGGTATTGTCAAGGTGCTGAGGAAGGATCTCATGGCTCATTGGGGTATGGGATTTCTTGGCAGTTGCTCAGTCGGAGTTAGTTATTTTTGTTGTAAATAGTAAATGCTGAGCTTTTTAAGGGTCGTTGCGACAAAGAAGCTTAAGAGGCATTGACTCCGTGAGGTTTGGCCAGGGTGGCCGGGTGGCCTCCGCCTCGTTCTACGACAACAGCATACACATTTGGAGGGCGGTCCAGTCGGCAGAGTCTGCAGAATTTGTGGAGAAAAGTGAGTGAAAGAAATAGGCTTGCAGGGTTGGAGGACGCTCAGAACGAAGGGGGTTTTGGAGTTTTGGCTCCCTCTTCCATCGGTAGACTGGAACCGCCTGGCTTCATCTAAACGTCTATGTTAAGAACACCAAGTGTGGCCAGATCTGAGATCTGCCAGGCTCAAAGATTCAATGCCCAAGAGGCAGCAGAGTGGATTTCAAGCAGGTACCAGGCCGTAATGGAAGAATATGAAAAGCAGAAGCAGCAGTAACCTCAGTGAGCAAGAGGTTTCCGTCCCCACTGGTGCGGAGTTCATTCTTGCTTTTGCACGAACTCCTTTTGAACTGAGGACTGGAAAGAAAGACATTCAGAATTTCTCAGACTTGTGCCCTTGACATGCTTGCAAATATATATATATATGATATATACTATCTATTTGTCCAAGTCCCTGGTGATCAGTGATACGACGATGTTTGAAGCATTGTGATCGAGCACTGGCCAGGGTTTCTGATCGAGCATGGGCCGGAGGGGCAAAACCAGTGTGACTCCAAGACGGGCTTTGCTCCCTATCATTCTTTTGTTTATAGTCTAACTCTGACTCTGTCTAAACTTGCCACACAAGCTGTACATTTGCGACCTCAGGTGCTTCCCGGCAAGGAAGACTTCCTGCAACAACTCCAGGCGAAATTGTGATATTTTTGAACAAATCGAAGTGTAAAGATTGAGGTAGGAGATACTCAAGACTTCCTTGACCCTGGTTGCTTGCAGACTGCTTTGCTGCACTTCCAAAGAGCTCGGCAGATGGAGGATGGAAAAGGCGACAGCGAGCAAGCGAGAGAGAGAGAGAGAGGGAAAAAGAAAGAGAGAGAGAGAGAGAAAGAGAAAGAGAAATAGAAATAGAAAGAGAAAGATAAAGAAAAAGAGAGAGAAAGAGAAAGCACAGAAGATAGCCCAAGAAGCACTGTATTGATTTAGCAATCATCCATTGTTGCTCAGTATCATTGCCAGCTTGTTTGTCTTTTTGTGCTTATTTTCGCAGCCATCTTCTCCGATCCGACTCACCTTATCCTGCACCCTTTTTAATACAGCTTCTCTCATCCCACACACTTAGCTTCCATTTGATTTTCTTTCTTGAGTGTGCTTCCTAATCTCCCAGCAGACTTCATGTCGTGTTTCATGGTTGTGTTGAAATGTCTCTGAGAACATTGAACCTGGGTGTCCACCTCCACCCCTGCAAGATACACATAGACACACACAGATATACATATCTATATATTTTAACCATCATTTTCAATCAGTGATCGACACAGCAACAGTGGCGTGACGTTGAGGAGCATAATTTCATTGATTTCGTTCTGACTCCAGAATCGGGCTGTAGCAGTGTAGGCAACACAGACTGTGGATGGTTCCAGTGAATAATCGTTGTCGCCAGGCAGTTGAGCAAGATCCTTTAGCTGAAATGGGAGTAGCGGCAGTTGCAAAAATTGCGACAAGCCACAAACAGACTTTGGAAGGGACATGTTGCACTTTGGTTGATTTTCTCACACTAGCAATGCAATAAGTGCCCTTGCTTTGATGAAAGAGAAAGGCGAGAAAGGTGTGCATTGTTCATGAATAGATGCTCCGAAGTGAGGATGCATTCTTGATCGGGGTCGGGGAAGGATTGTCTTGAATTTATTGACACTCCAGCTGGAGTTCGAGGTAGCCCAATGGATGCAAGATTTCATGATCCAACAGCTTTGTAGAAAAAATCCCTTTGACCGGAAATTGACCCCTGCCAAGCTTCCTTCAGCCTTGGCCCGTTTTTGTAGAGGCTAAGGCCTTTAACTCTTGCTTTTGGACGTGGCAGACGAAGATGGTCACAATTTGTGAAATTTGTCACATCCAGAGCAGCTTATGTGAGGTGGTGCTAGGTGCATTGATTTGTGAGCTCCTATGAACCGGGCGTGGAAAAGGTCTTTGTTTTGACGCAGCTACTTGCTATTTTTGATCCTTGGCTGTGTATGACAGGAATATTGATTACTGGCTACTGTTGTAGAAGCTTTCTGCCATTGGACGATAAAATGGTGGTCCGATTGTTCAAGAAGCATACTGTTTGTCCAGCCAAATCAATGATCGGTTCGGTAGCACATAGCATTGGCTCAAACAATGTTGCGCAAGCTTGGCTGAAACTGGTTCATTTATCACAGAGGTGGGATCAGCATGCTTCACTTCAAGTTTAGACACCGTGCAACTGCGGCAAGGTGAACCACTCCTTGGCTTGGACTTGGTGTGGTTCCATATCAGTGAATAGCACCTGCCCCAGCCAGAAATGTTTGGAATCAGGGTCTGTGGTCGAAGGAGAGTTTAACGTCAGAATAGAATGACTGACAGGAACAGAGAGCGAGGCTTCTTTGAACAACGGCCGCTTGAAATTTCTTCGCCCCAGCTTATTACCTTAATCACTGAATAAAAGACAATGGCAACAGCTATTCACTCTATTGACGCATATGCAACAATTGTTCGAACATGCTGTGCCAGTGCCAACGTGCCCTTCTAATCTGGACAAACATTGGCTGTGAGGCTGCTGAACCTCTTGCACGCCCAGATAAGCTGTCTCAGCCGCTTTCTTAGACTCTGACTGCTTGAGCAGATGTTGCGGGTTCAGCCTACGAAGCATTGAGTTCATGCAGACAGTGCGCTGTGCACAGATGGGGACTCAACATTTCTTTTGCCCTGTGGATGAACCCAAGAGATACCCTGCTCCAATGTGCAAGCGCTGAATCCGAGTCTTGCCTGTGGTCCAGGCGATGTCGAGTGGCGTGCCATACATTGGGAGCAAGATCAGCTTGATCACCACCTCGGACATAAGATACGAGGGGCCTGGTGCTCGGATCGAAGCGGCCCGACTGCTGTGATTTAATCATTTGGTTCTTTTCTCCTTCTTTGACCTTTGGATGTTGAAAGTCCTGGAGGAGTCTTCACCTTTTGCGCCAGTCGACCCAAAAAAATCTCTTTCACCAATTCTGGCCACTCAGGATCCTATGTACACTCAACAAAGAGGAGTCCACTATAGCAGCCGCATCCTCAGTATCGACACACACACACACACACACACACGCACCAGACTTTGACAGGGTTGAAAATGGTTGAAGGGTCCATTTAAATGACATACTAGCTGGTGAAGAAAAAGAAAGCCAGTCTAATGTCCACTGCATTTCGAGTCAACCGATCCAACGGAGTTGGAATGACCGAAGAGTTGACAGGTGCAGAACGTCAGATCCTTCGGCACCGAAGGACGGACAGATGGCGCTCGAGGGTGTGCTGCTCAGATCGACTTGACTCCGATCGACTCACTGCCTCCAACCTAATAGCAATGGTCTCCAACCTAATAGCAATGGTCTCCA